GACTTACCAAGTATGGCACCATCGGCGCCTACTGCTAATGCTCACGCGCAAGCCTGAACGCGAGCTCGCCTTCATCGCGGCGTCCCTCAAAGCCGACACGAAGAACTACCATACTTGGTCCTATCGTCAATGGCTGCTCGCGTTCTTCAACGACGACGGTCTGTGGGCCGGCGAGCTGGACTTCGTAGACTCGGTTCTTGCACAGGACGTGAGGAATAACTCGGCATGGCACCATCGGTTCTTTGTGGTGTTCCAGTCCGGCTTGAGGGAGGGCGAGACGGATCGGGGCAGAATTATCAGGAGGGAGCTGACGTGCGTGTTTTGTCTTCCTTTTTCTCTTCTGCACTTACCCTCGTGAATGCGGCTGACGTTTCCTCATAGATTCGTGAAGCAGAATATCTCCCTTGTCGCAAACAACCCGTCTGCATGGAACTACCTCCGCGGGATCCTAGACACCAACAAGTTGCCCTATTCACGCGTCGAGGACTTTGTCAAACCGTACGCAGCATCGACGCACAGCAATGTAACTGATCTCGTCGACCTGGAGAACCCGCCACCGTCTCGCACCGCCCAGCTGCCGTGCCCCGCTGCGATCGAGTTTCTCGCGGACATCCATGAGAAGGAGGGCGGGAAAGACGCGATTTTGCAAGCGACAGAGGTGCGCTGCGCCCGTACTTTGTGGTGATTTGTTTGCTAATTAGGGATGTGTGTAGCTTTGGAGATCGCTCGCGGACGAGCAGGATACGATACGCAAGAAGTGAGCATTTCTGCGTGATTTTAGACTTATTGCTTATCATGTTCTTCGCAGGTATTGGGAGTATAGGATCAAGGAGGCACTCAAGCGGGCTTAATGAGAGGCTACCGTCACTGATTTTTGGAGGATATTATCTACGTGAGGAAGGAGCTCGTACGTATATTCCTATTGTATTTCTATGAAAGAATGTCTTTTAGGGTATGTGCTCATGGACAAGGACTGCCTGCAGCCTCAATCATGGAATTCGGAGAACCTTCGCGATGTGCGGCCAAGACTAGTCCGCATATGTGCCTTTTGTTTGTGTCTCCTACCGCGCAGTCTTGAATCACTTTGACTTCGGGGGATGAGAGTCAACTCGCCGCTTTCAATTGAAGGCCTAGGATAGTAAGTATGATCGCAGGGCGCCCACGTGCCTTTCTTCGGGACTCATTCGCCACGCGGTGCCAAATACGCGAAGCCCTCGTGGCCTACATTGCGCCCACAGACGCCCACTTGACGATAGTCGGCTAAAAAGGTGCGCCATGCTCCTGAAGCATGCCCTCCCCGAAATTCTGCTTTTCTCACAGATCCCACCCGCCTGAGTCATGGCTGTCACCCTAGGATTCGAAGCAAGATCTTATCGTCCACACAATCAGCGAATCAGAGGAATCGCCTTGTATTCTAGCCAAATGTTGAAATTCCGCTATGCCGCTTTGATCATGGAAATTTCCGAAAATACGCCCACACTACACAGCACCTTGAAGATATAAAGTCCAACCATCCCCTCGCATTGTTCTTTTCTAGCTTCCTTTCGGCCGCTCCCTCTCTTTCTTCTCGAGCTCGCTCTTCACGCGCACGTCATGGGTCCTTGATGTTGTCTCTGTCGCTGACTACTCGTCACGAACTCATGGTTGGCATAGACATCCGCTGTGCCACTGAGCCACTCAACCGTCATCGTCGATGACAGGTACGTCTGTAGCCCTGGTCTGCATCGTTTCCATGTATGGTGGGATCTGTGGCCACCCAACCATCGCTGTCGCATATGTACCGCGCTCAACTTAGTGTGGCGCGCCACACTAAGTGGCAGTCGTCTCACTGCATCGTCTCCGACCTGCACCTGATGATCTTTCGTCGCGTCCATCACCTCAGCCTGTGTTCGGTTTGCTGATCACCTTTCTCTCTTCTCATCAGAACATACACGCCCGATATGTGTGTGCTTTTCACTCTTCCTTACCCACGCGCCTTGCATCCTCACTTCAGAAACCTCCCAGCGACGGCACGTAAACAGTTTCTTCTTGTCTCATTCACGGTCACTTTTTCCCAGATGACGAGAGCCTCTAACTCGTCGCTCAGTGAGTTCGTCGTCCACGCGGTCTGCTTTGTGATCCTCATTCGCACACACCGTCCATAGACACGTAAATCGGCACCGCCTCCTAGCCAGTCGCCGTAAATGCTACGCGCTGGGGTCCCCATGCAAGTTAAGCGGTACTTACTGGTGTCCGTTGCCAGCCCGGGCCCCATGGGGTCCTGCGGGGGATGGCTCCAGATATCGCCGCACACAGCTTCCAGTTCTTCGGAACTGAAAGTTGGTCTTCCCACATCTGACCACCCCGCATACATCCTACGACTTGCCACACGCAGATTGGAATGTTTTATGCGGGGAATGAGCGGGGATTTGTGGGGGGATGGAGCGACATTTCGGCGAAGCTGCAGGAGGTGCTGCTGCCATTGCATAATGCCGGTCGTCCACGGTGCGTCTCGTTGATTCCCTCTTCTTCTGCGTTGATAGCGAGCTGCTCATTCCGATCTTCCGTAGTCTGCGTTTGCAGAGAATACGTGGGCGATTTGAAGTGAGCACATTTTCTGTCCCTCATGCATCGTAAGTTGCTAAGCGGCTACACGCCCAACAGGTCAATGATCTTCCGCGGGCGTCGATCATTGAAAAAAAGGTGCGCCTTTCCCTCGTTGTGCCCCTCCACATATCATCAACGCACTTCTCCCTTTCGCCAGAAACCAAATTAAACGCGGAACTCCGAAAAGAAACCAAAAGAGTACGTCGACCCCTCTCTCTCCTCCGCCTATCATTGACCCGACAATGCTCTCACTAGAATCCAAGTTAAACTCCCAAAGGAAGAAATAGGAGTATGTTGTTCCCTCTCTGCGCTCATATGCTTATCATTGACGCGACATTGCCTTTACCAGGACTCAAGTTAAACGCGGACCTCTGAAAGGAAGAAAATGACGTATGTCTCCCTTCTCTGTGCCCTCTGGCACCTCATTGACGCGACTTTGCTTTCACTAGGAATCAAGCTAAACGTGGAACTTCAAAAAGGAAGAACAAGGGTACGTCGTCCTCTCTTTGCGCCATCCGCTTATCACTTACGCGACAATGCTTTCGCTAGAAATCGAAATAAAACGCGGAACTTCGAAAGGGAAAAAAGGGTACGTCTTCCTCTCTCCGCATCCCTCCGCCTATCACTTACGCGACAATGCTTTCGCTAGAAATCGAAATACAACGCAGAACTTCGAAAGGGAAAAAAGGGTACGTCTTCCTCTCCCCGCATCACTCCGCCTATCATTCACGCGACTTTACTTTCGCTAGAAATAGAAACTAAACGCGGAAATCTGAAGGAAAAACAAGTTCGTCTATCCATTCATCCTGTCTTTTCATGTGGACTAACGCGCCTCTCCGTAGAAAGGGAAAAGAAAATTACCTGTCCAAAAAGGACACAATAAACCTCAACTCAAACGGTCCTCTCGCGAGGCCGGAACGGATATCCTGAGCCCGCGCAGGTTCAAGGAAGTTCGTCTACCTTTTGGGAGCCACCCACGGGAAGCCCCGGGCACTCTCGATGTCGTCCAAAAGGACGTCCTCATCCAATTTTTTCCACTCAAGTGCTTCGTGCACTTGGTGTCTGTTTCGTTGAGACAGACCATAGTCCGGGTGATCTTGCATTGCAGGGGACGGCACATCATCTAATTTTTTCCTCCCTTGAGGGCTTCGTGCCCTCTCTGCGTTATGCGCACAATCTGAGTGGTGTTTCCTTCGAGTCGTGCGTCGGTCCCCACGTGTTTCTGTTCACAGTCGGTTACTGCTCCCGCAGTGGAAGTTTTTCTTTAGGTTTGGAAATTCTTTGCGTCTTCTCTCAAGTGTCGACACACACATCGCCGCCAGTTCAAGTGCACTCCGTTTTTGCTCATACCGTCGTTTGTGCCCCCATGTATATGTATCACACAATTCTCTTGCTCGCTTTAACAGTTTCATCCACCATCTTTCCAGTAACATTGAATGAATTTAATGCTGATATCATCTGGTCACTGAATGATCTCGGAAACGGTGTGGACTTGCCACCCTCGGATGGTGGACACGGCGCATGGAGCATGGCAAATGAAATTGTGAAGTCACTTCCCCGAAAAGCCTCGCCACGCGGCAACCTCACCTTGCTTGTGGGAATGGTCGAT